TCGAAGAAAAAATAAGCAGCGCGTACCGCAGTGACACCCTGACGTACTGAAAACGACCAGCTCATCTACACCATCACCATTGATATCAGCAATGTGTGCACCATTAATGCTTGTTCCAAGGTTCTGGTAGAAGTACCGAAACGGTTCAACATCAACTGTTGGCACTGGGAACCCATACAAACGCATCGGCCCCTTAATTGATGTAGCCACTATTTCGATACTGAAATGCAGAGAAAGAATTTTTTCCTTTATCAGCTACTGCATAGTTTCGGGAGATCACTTTGACTGATCATTTGTTTCAAGAATCTCAGTCTGCAGCGCATCAGGTTGGCCGGTGCGAGCACGCGATTCTGCGTTAAACTTGCAGTAGTTGGATTGTTAAAGGCATGAATTGTTTAATATGTGGACTCGTGTTGGCTGTATTTTGGCCCTTTACCGGCATGCAGGGGCAAAGGGCATCGGCTGTATGGTAGTGTTGCAACGAGGGCCGCGCATGAGCCTTAAGCATATATGATTATTAACTGTGAATTAAAAACGGTCGTTTTTTCCGGTTATTCACTGGAAAAATGCAAATTTGTCAATGTACGGAATATCGAAAGAGGATTGCAGAACCCCAAAAATGCACTCACTTTTGAGTTTGCGATAAAACGTGGTATTTGTCATGCCCAAGTACAAGAAATTTCGCCTCTAAGTTAGATTAAAACCATATACGAATAAGAATATCCTGCGAAATAGTTTCGCAGCTTGTCGGTTAAGCGAAATCGCATATTCACTATAAATATTTTTGATGCATCCTAAGGCATTACGGAAATGCTGTTCGAATCTCCATTTAGGGACACGATTTCCCCAGACAGACGGTAAATATCCCGACAAGATTTCAGACATTGTTTCCTGACTAGTTATGCGTTTTGTGCTGCGCAACAATTGCAAAAGACGCTTGTTGTCACAGGGTTGTCTGTGTGTATTTGTTCTTGTGTCGGTTGCATTTTGTGCGTAACTCGGGGTCCATAAATGCAAGGAAGCTGAACATTTAGATGAAGTCCGTTCCTCGGT